TGAGAGGCTTGGCTTGACATGGGAAACTGCTGGAAGTTTGACTGGCTTGTAGCTAGGAGGTGGAGGGATTCCACTGAATCCACTCCTGGTCGATGTGTCTCCGGCTGGAGCTGGAGCTGGTGCCGTCACCACTGTGGTAGGCACTCCTTGAAGCAGTTGCATCCGATGTTGATGATACTGCGGCATGAAGGACTTCTTCATGCCATTGAATTGGTTGATCGCCCATTCAGGTTTGGGGATCTTGGATTTGACCTTGCACTGCGGAAACTTGTGATCTGGGCTGCCACAACAGTAGCAGGTTTCACCTGGCTGTGACTGCTGGTAGAAGACAGCAGCTGGGAGCCCTTCCTTCATCTTCTTGGGATCAAAAGAAGGTGGCTTATTGGGATTGGAGTATGGTTTCCGTTCCCTGCTCTTCCGCTGTTCCAACCATTCCTTGCTGGCCTTGAATCTGTCATTTGACAGTGTCTCTCTGAGATGGTCCAGGGTAGCAGGGAACTGGATGCTGCCGTCCATGGCATAGGCTGCCTCAACGGTCTTCTGGTAATCTCCATATCTTCCTTCTTGTAGTCCATGATAGCCCACGGTTGCTTTCAACCTAGCCCTTTCCGTCACTAGCACCTTTTCTTGGGCGTCGTGACCCGATGCGGCTTGATATTCAGCTAATCCGATAGTCCTGGCATCAATGAACTCCGTTCCGACCAGGTCATACACTTGGTCCACGTCGCTGTCGACCTTTCTCAAGTAGAAGTCAACTCTGTCATGGTCTCCTTGTTTCGGGAACAAACCACGTTGGATGGTCTTGATGAATTGTAGTAATGGGAACTCTTTGGTTGAGCCTTGCATCACTATCAATCTGATCCTCTTGAGCATCTCAATGGGTCCTCATAGTCTCCTAGACCTCTAAGCTTGGACTTCATGGCGTCGGTACAGTATGTCACCTGGATGGTGGTTGCACCAGTCTTGAAAATGTTCTCATAGGCGCGAGTCGACTTGTCATAGATGGATGACTTGGCCTTGTACTCGCTGAGTTCCAAAGCATCGTACTCTTGGGCTTTGGGATCAGTAAGTGATATCTGAAGTGTAGGCTTGGTCGGCTTGGTTGGTGCCTGACTTGTCATGGTCTCAATGGCCAATGAAGCCAGTGGCACATCATTCCATTCAGGCTTGATGCTTAGGTCCTGTACAATGTTTGTCAGGGTCTCTTCAAAAGGATAATACATGTGCACATGGTGTCAGCCTGTCCATTTGGATGGAAGAGGAACTGACGCTTGGGACTCTTGTTCTGGTTCCTGTAGCTGTTGCCTCTTCCTTGATGGCTTCTTCCTGAGGAATTGAATCCCCTACCCCCCCCTAGAAGGGTATCTTCCTCCACCACGACCACCTCTTCCTTGGAATCTCATGGTCTTGTTGGTGTGGTAATGCACTCTTGTGCTTGCTTGTGTGGATACTCCTGCAGGAAGGATCTCATGGTGGACTCTCGTGTGAGTCACTGCTTTGTAAAAGCTTGCTTGTTGGCTGGATAGCCTTCTTTTGGTCACTCTTGGTGCACCTGTTTGTGGCTGGATAGCCTCTGTCTTTGACAGCTCACGGAATTCCAGAGGAAAACTCGTGGTTTGGTGGCTCAGGGTAGTAGCGAACTCCTCTGTAGCCTTTCGTATGCCTCTGTGCTCTTGCAGAGGTCTTCAGTATCTTTGTATGAGTACACTGTGTGAGTTTCAATATCTGAAACAGGCAAACGATGGAGTTTTAGGACTCCGTGTGGTTTACCGGGATTTTTGTGTTTCTCTTCACAGTAGCACTGTATCACTCGAATCAACCTATCTCACTCAATTTTCGGAGTTAGAAGCTTGCATTGATACTCAGAGATGCGGATAGATGTCCTCTATCGATTGATGTATAAGACCGCTTGCTTGCAACGTCTTTGTCAGGATCTAGCTTGATCCCCGTTAGATGACTTCTGCTCGTTGTGATGAGATGGATCGAAATCTCGCGCGATGACGTAATCCGCTTCAACTCCTTGAATAAGAGCCGGATTTCCTTGCTCTCAGCACGTAACCTGCTTCAAGTCACCTGTGCTTCACCGTGGTATGCTTGGATTGCGATAACTCTGGCCGGAAGTTACTGCGTACCTTGAAATGGGATTTTCAATCGTGTGTTCTTGTGACGTTTCGTCTGTTAGAGGTGTGGCTAGAGCCTGATTCTGTGCACCTCTGCTCTGTTGCAGTAGTTAACTCAATACACTTTGACTCAATACACTTTGACTTGATATCAACTTGACTTACTATCTCGAGACGGTTGACTTCTTTGAACTCGAGAAGGGCTTTGCTTTTCAGTGTTGTTTGCTAGTAATACTGCAGCTTATTGGGGAATAATTTGGTTTTAGATTAAGCTGAAAAGCAAAAGTGAGGATTTTCTGGTGGTGCATAGCAATTCTTGTGATTGAATTGGATATAAGGACCCCCGCAACACTTTAGACCTAAAACTCCCTTGGTTCCTTGCATCATGAATTTGCATGCGAACCGGACTAGATGATTAATACACGAGTCAATAGTAAAGAGGTGTCAGGTATATTTCCTCCAACAAGAGCGCTCCAGTCACAGAGAGCGCTCCAGTCGCAGGAGGGCCACTGGTTGTCAAGAGCTCAAAGAAATACGAACCAGTCAACTGGAGGCCTTCGGAAATTGGCCTATTAAGATCCTTAAAGGGTCTGTTCTTGGCCAGAAACCGATTTGAGTCTCAGCTGCCCATGGAACTTGGCTTGTTGTCCAATTTAGAATGCCTGGGAATTACAGCAAACCAATTCACTGGCCAATTCCCCCCTGTGGGTGCTGGTTTGATTACTGATGTCAATGCCGACCTGTCGGCGTCAGCAGAATTGCGTGGGAACTTTGTAGCTCAATGCGTTCAAAATTGAAAATAAGACATTTATTCATCTGGTAGCTTTCTTCACCTGAAGAGGCGTTTGCTGACTTGAACAGCCTTTAGAATTAGTGTATCTTTTGCATGTCTTTGGAGGTATATGGAAAATAGTAGCACGAAGAAATGAGTTGAGTTCGATTCGGCCCTTTATTTGCTTAAAATTCGTAGGGACGCAAGAGTGAAACCAGACGAATCGGCAGGCTCAGGAATTGTGGCAGCATGATACATGGCTTGATTATGTTGTGGTTTGTTTGTGGGCAGCTTGCTAGCCAGCTAGCTAGCTACCAGTACGGTAGTTATTGGCAAACAAAAAAAAAATAACGAAAGTTTTATTATTTAGGCTGCACCCTCAATAGACCACCCGCTGAACGGAGCCATATTGAACCGGAGTCCTCAGACGTACAAGGACGCCCACATAGAACCGGCCTAGTGCAAGCCCCCACCGGAGAAGTTAAAAACTCCGGAGGGTGCTTTGCAGCTAACTATCTACCCTTGGCTGGATTGCCATCTATTTCTACGGCAGGACCCCTTCTGGGCGTAGTTACCTTGTGTCATTGTTCTGCATTGTAGTTATTGGCAAACAAGCCAATGATGTGCAAATATGGTTTGTCCTTGCTTGATGGATGAAGGGAACTCGATCCTCTCTGTGGCTGGGCGACCCGGAAATTAACGGCCCAGCGCTAATTATCAGTCGTGTCAAGGAGGTTGAGAAACCACACTCCAGTCACGTTTCGAGAAATGCATGCCATCCACTAGTAGCACCACGTAGTTTCCCCATGACTGTTTCCCCACGACTGGTTTCCCCATGGGTTTCTTGTTTCCCCATGACTCGTGAGTAAACAAGCTGTTTACTCATGAGGAAACAAGAAGCTTGTTTACCTCATGAGTAAACAGCTTGTTTATCATGAGAAACAAGACTCGACTAATGGGGAAACAAGGCAACAAGGCAGCTTCGTAACTAATGCAATAGATCTATCTAGAGATCGTCGTCGCTGTTCGCTCTCTACCACCGGTACCACCACTAAAGGGCCATGAGACTCGCCACAGCGACCGAAGTCCTTGTAAGGGGACTGGAGCTGGTTGGGTTTTCTGCTGAGAGGCAGAACAGTGTTCGCAATGCCAAAAAATTGGAGCGATGGGCTTCTCACTTCATTGCTAGGCCGATCGTTTATCTGTCTTTGGGAAGAGCTCCAGACCACTTGGATAGAGGAAGCCAAAATCGACAATGCTAGATATAAGTTGTTTGACTACTACCTCATGACTGTCTACTATCTCGCGAAGTATCCAACTGAAAATGAAATGGAGGGAAAATTTGGATTGTCTGATAGAACAATTCGGTTCTGGGTGTGGGATTACTACTTGCCAAGAATTTCTAGTCTCAAAGAAGCCAAGATCTACTGGCCGTCCCGATGGAGCCCTGGGGAAGCCCTTGATATGGATGAAACAATCTTTATTATCTCTGTTGATGGTGTCCACTGTCAGATCCAAGAGCCACAGCACGGTGAGTTTTCCAAGGACAGGGACTATTGGTCGCACAAGTTCGGCTCGGCCGGGTTGAATTATGAGATTGCCATTTCGGTGTTTGAGCAGCAGGTTGTGTGGGTGAATGGCCCCTTCAAAGCAGGAAAGCACACAGACATCAAGATCTTCCGTGCTGCTTTGAAGAAAAAGATTCCAGCAGGGAAGCTTGCGATTGCCAATCTAGGGTATCGAGGCGAACGCAAATTGATTGCTACACCCAATTCGCACGATGTTGCCGATGTGAGGCTCTTTAAGAGCCGAGTCCTTGCCCGGCACGAGACCTTCAATGGCAAAATCAAGCTGTTCCGAGTGCTCTCTGAACGATTCCGCCATGGGGTTGCCAAGCACAAGCTGGCCTTCAATTCGGTGGTTGTCATTGGCCAATTTGAGCTTGAGAATGGCTCGCCACTGTTTGTTGTGTAGTAGCGTTGATTGGTAATAGCGAACTGGCTTGTAGCTGCATGTTGTGGTCGCCGTAGGTTCTCTATTTTTTGCCGGGAACTAGTTATAGAAATGCAGAACAATTTGTAGAGCATACAGTGATTTTTATTCTTTGATTAGTAATCGCCTTTCTGTTGTTGTAATGGATCAAGTTTCAGTCGGTCGTCCTCATCGAAGCTGGCTCCCATACTGGTACCGGTAACGCCGAGTTTGTTGTCTGGTGGCGATTCAGGAAGCGGAGCCATTGTTGAAGCACCTTCTCCACCGATTTCCTGAAGCAGTGTGTTGCCTTCTTGGATATACTTTTGCAGACCAGTTGCAATACCATCAATGAAAGCACTACCGTCGCCGCCGCCAGTGGCAACAGCAGCAGCCAAGGAACTGTTGCGAGCCTTCTTGATTGTCTCGTATTTCTTCTTCTCGCGGATAGCTTCTTTGGCATCTACACGGCTCTCCTTGCTGGTCGCCTTGGACTTGAATTGTTC